TTTCAATGTGATGGTGTAATCTGAAATTGTCATCTCCCTGTTGCTTATTTTCCTTGCAAAATTAACGGATTGGATTTTAAGTTAATTTAAGTAATTGCCGAGAAATTTAAAAATGAAATTCGAAAAAAAAAAATGTCAAAAATAAAATAAAAAAAGGAGATTAATTGAATTAATGTTTGATAATAAGGTGAAGCTACGAAATCCTAATCCGATTTGAAATACGAAACGTTAAAAGTATTATAAATTTTTATCGATAAAATATGGGTATCGTACGGAGGGGGGGAAAGGGTGAGCGGAAGCGAGGCTGGGCGGTGGGGGCGGGGGGTGAGATCAGCCGCGTGGGGGGAGAAGAGGTGCATGCGGGGGGAGTATCGGGACCGGGGGGGGGGTGATCAAGATCGGGTAGACAACGGGGGGGGATGACAAGACGAAGGGGAGCGAAGCGGGGTGTGGCGGACCCACCAGGTGTGGTGCTCCGCCTGGGATAAGAGATGAAGATGGAGGATGAAGGGGGAGCAAGATGGCATAGCGCAGCTCCCACGCGAGACTTCAACGCACGTGCTCCAAGATGTGCGAATGTAGAATGATCAGAAAACAAACAACATCTGGGGTATATCCCAGCGAACTGACGGGACTAGACTAAACAGGCTGGTAACAGAGGTACCGCCCTGGAGTGGACTACCCCGAATACAACACAGGCCTGTGAGAACAGGCCAAGAGAGAAGGTTAACAACAGTCGTATTTTTCATCACCACTTCATGACACCCTTCACCACTTCAGGATGTAGTCTGCCTAAACAGGTGGTTTTCAGGGTCTTCAGACCTTTCACCACTTCAGGACCATTCAGGTCTGAAAATCGTGAATGGTCCTGAAGTGGTGAAAGTTCCGAAGACCCTGAAAACCACCTGTTTAGGTAGGTTGCATCCTCAAGTGGTGGAGGGTGGTTTTCATGGTCTTCGGACCTTTCACCACTTCAGGACCATTCAGGATTTTCAGACTACCAAAAACTCTCACTTAACCACTTTAGGACACCCTTCACCACTTCAAGATGCAGCCTGCCTAAACAGGTGGTTTTCACGGTCTTCGGACCTCTCACCACTTCAGGGCCATTCATGATTTTCAGACTGCCCAAAACTCTCACTTCAGAATTTTCATTCTTGAATTTTTCAGTTACCCGATAACCGCTTGTGCAGGCCAAGGGGCTGGTCTCACAGGCCAACCAGAGCTCCGCTACGCGATCCTCGACCTGTGATGGATCGCTTAGATACAAGCACGCTTCCGCCAAGAAGCGGAACTCTAACAAAGAAAAGTAAACCTGAGTAGTCTAGGATGCAGAGCAATCTCCATGCTGCGATGCAACCTAGGATAGAAAATGTCACAAAACAACAATGTCACAGCTAACAGCCTAAGCGAAAGCAAACGCAACTAACTAGCATACATGTCTTAGGAAAGCAGAAAGTAATGACAACTAAACCTTAGAATTTTGGAGGTGGTAGCCTCATTCTCGAAACAAGAACAACAAAAACAGAAACAATTAAATTCTAGAATGTTAGAGGCAGTAGCATCAGGCTGAGAGCAACAAAGCAACAACAAGACAACCATATGTCACAAGAGAAGTGTGTCGCGAACCAAAGGTTGGGATGGTCTCTGAGGGCAGCGGATGCAGCCTAGGGGTCGATAACTCCTAAGGGCATTCACACAAAATGACAGGGAGACACGTGTCATCAGGCTCAATGAGGGTAGGGAACTGGGAGCGAACAAAACCAATGACCCTAACAGATAGACCATCAGGGCGGGTAATGCTCGACTAAAGGGGTGACCACTATGGAGGGTCGACCATGCAAGGGAACAAGGGAGCCTGGTATACTGGGCGCACCATGCAAGGAAACAAGGGAGCCTGGTATACTCGGCGCACCTAGATGAAGCATGCGAGGATGCCTAACTAGGGCACGAGGGTCGACAGAGGGTAGAAAAACTGATGGGTAAGGGAATCATGCAAATGACTCCTAAGATGGGAAAGTCGGAGCTGGATCCGTAAGCTGGGAAGCCAAGGCAACGCTACAGTCCTGATGCCTATGCGTATACCAAGGGAGAGCCTAACTCAGAGGAACCCGACGAAAGGAGACCATCATGCGACACAACCAGGGTACTGTACAGGGTAAGGTGGTAAGAGAGCGACGACATCTGAACTAGCCAGAGCTGATCGTGACGAAGTTCATGAAGCTACCGATGACGTCCATGATGAGAAGTCCGGAATGCCGTCGAGGAAGAGTCGCGACGTCGACGAGCTGAAGTGGCAAAACTGGAGTGGATGGAGTACTGAGAAGTCAAAGACGTGGGAAGATAAGTCAGAGTCAATAATCGTATCGAGCAGGACGATGACGAGAGCACTGTGGACGCTCAGAAGCATCCGGCTGCTGCTGAAGGTCTGCCTCAGATGGGGCAAGCTCGACTTCAGCTGTCTCCTCAGCCGAGGGAGAACGAGGAGGGTCAGTGGGTTGAGGGGGAGCAGTCAACCCAACACGACGAACACGGTCATAGACACGCACCAACATGCGAGCATACTGCAAGTGCTCGAGGGGCTATAGGTAGCCTCCTCATCAGGGTAACCCTTCCAACGTACGAGATACTCGACATGGGGAGGGTTTTCGTTGGTGACTCGGCGACCAATGGTGTCTGAAACGAGGAACTCCTCGTGGTCGTCCACCATGATGGGTGGAGGGCGCTCGTATGGTCGTCCAGCGAAACACTCAGACGGGTTGCGGTAGGGACGCAGTAATGAGACATGGTAGACATCGTGCACATGAGCCTGGCGTAGGTAGTCGAGCAGCTTCACATGGAAGCTGATCGAGCTAGATGCTGTATCAGAACCCAGCACGACGAGCACGGTCATAGGCACGCACCAACATGCGAGCATGCTGCAAGTGCTCGAGGGGCTCCAGGTAGCCTCCTCATCAGGGTAACTCTTCCAACGTACGAGATACTCGACATGGGGAGGGTTGTCGTCGGTGACTCGACGACCAATGATGTATGAAACGAGGAACTCCTCGTGGCTGTCCACCATGATGGGTGGAGGGCGCTCGTATGGTCGTCCAATGAAACGCTCAGACAGTCTCCGGCAGGGACACAGTAACGAGACGTGGTAGACATTGCGCATACGAGCCTGGCGTAGGTAGTTGGGCAGCTTCACACGGAAGCTGCCCGAGCTAGATACCGTATCAGAACCGACAGCCTGGAGAATGCGGCATGGGCCAAAGAAGCGACGCCGAAACTTGCGAAGTGTGTCCGCTTCCAGCTGTAAGTGGCGGGCGTTGATAAGCACATCATCACCGACTTGGAATGGATGATCCATCCTCGATCGGTTCGCACGTCTGGGAAGCGACTATGTGCTCATGTGCGGTCTTCATGATTGACGTCATGTGTGCAACTCAATCATCCAGCGCGGGACAACTCGTGTTGGGGTGCATCTGTGACGGTTGAAGGAAGTTTGGGGGAACACGAGGGTGATAGTCGAGGTCGCAATAGTAAGGCGACATCCCCATGGCTGGCGAGACGGCGTGGTTGTAGGCTATCTCCGCGTGGGCAAGATGAAGATCCCACTGTTGGTCGTCACGAACAATCTTTCGGAGAATATCTCCGAGAGTCTTGTTCGTGACCTCGGTCTGACCATCAGTCTGGGATGGTAAGACGAGGAGAAGCGGAGCTGGGTGCCGTATACCTAGTGGAGCCGTTGCCAGAATCGACTGGTAAAACGCGGGTCACAGTCAGATATGATGTTCAGAGGTAAGTCGTGGTCACGCACGACTCGATCAAATACAATGTCGACGACCTCACGTGCACTTATGGCATAGTGGCACGAAACAAAGAGTGTACACTTCGTGAATTGGTCGACGACGACCAGGATAACATCATGACCGCGGGGGGTCGGAGGACGAAGAGGACCGATAAAGTCCATCGAGATGGACTGCCAACGACCCTCAGGGATAGAAAGAGGTTGGAGCAAACCATAAGGCAGGTGGTTCACACTGTTCACCTCCTGACAGGTGGGACACTCTGCGACGTAGTCCTTCACAAAGTCTTTTGCGCTTCGGCCAGACGTACAGGCGGCTCACACGAGCCAACGTCTTATGGAAGCCCATATGACCGACGGCTGCCTGGTCATGGAACTCTGCTACTGCCCGAACACGTAGCTGTCCAGTGGAGGGAACACAAATACGAGGCTCTCTGGTGCCCTGTGAACCGTGCCAGTACACAGGACCGTTGTCCCCGAGAGAGTAGTTTGGGACAGTCTTGCCACTCCGAAGGGTCGCATGGATGTCGCGATASTCGGGGCAGTGGCGGTACTGAGTGCGAAACTCGTCGATCACCGAGTGGTGGACGGTGGTGACCGAGATAGCAGCGAGCTGAATCCGCTCCTCATCATGGCCAGGGCGCCGGGATAAGGCATCTGCGACCCGATTAGTCTCACCCTTGATGTGCTCAGTGGTGAAACTAAACTCGGATAAGTCGTGCCACCAGCGAGTCTGTCGAGGAGTGAGTTTTTGCTTTGTCAGAAAAGCCTGGACACCAGAGTTGTCCATGCACACCGTGAACGGTGCCCCGTGCAGGTAGTGACGCTAGTGCTGAGCGGCGTAAACTACTGCGAGAACCTCACGTTCATCAGCAGTGTAGTTTATCTCGGCAGGCAGAAGCTGACGGGAGTAGAATGCTATTAGACAATCACCTGAGCGAGACTCAACATTGCGGTCCTCGGCGATGGTAGAAAATAGTCAGTAAAAGGCTCGTCAGTAGTTAGACGAGTAGGCGTAAGGCGGGAAGCAGTGGTTGGGGTAGGTGGTGGGAAGCAAGGGGTACGAGGATGAGAGGAATCAGGAGAAGAGGGAAAAATCTGAGAAAGCACTGCTCCTATAGCAAAGTCTGACACATCGGTGGTAAGGATAAAAGGGCGATCAAAATCAGGTAGGTGAAGAATCGGTGCACATGTTACCGCCTTCTTGAGGGCGTGGAAGGCGTCCTCGTGGAGGGGTGTCCAAGCCCATGGCGGGTTCTTCCGGAGGAGGGTGGAGGCAGGGACGTAGGAATACCTAGTGTATCCCTAGATGAAATTACTATAGTACCTGGTAAGGCGTAGGAAGCTGCGAAGCTGCTTGGCGGATGTGGGGACGGGCCACTCTGCAATAGCAGTGATCTTCGCGTCGTCCATGTGGAGACCCTGGCCAGACACGTAGTGTCCTAAGAAATCCGCTCTCTGCCGTGCAAAGCGGCACTTGCTCAACTTCGCGTAGAAGCCATGTCTGCGCAAGCGGTCAAGGACGTCACGGAGGTGTCTGAGATGCTCCTCAAGGGTACGACTGTAGACCACCATATCGTCAAGGTAGACGAGAACGTACAACTCCAGGATGTCCCTGAAGATGTCGTTCATCGCCCTCTGGAAGGTAGCGGGTGCGTTGGAGAGGCCGAATGGCGTCACCGTAAACTCGTAGTGGCCGAAGCGCGATCGGAACGCTGTCTTCGGCTGGTCGGCTGCAGCGACGCGGATCTGATGGTAACCGCTATGAAGATCAATCTTCGTAAAGAAGCGGTTGCCTGCTAGGCAGTCGAACAACTCGTTGGAATGAGGCATGGGGTACCTGTTCTTAACCGTGTAGCGGTTGAGGCCGCGATAGTCGATGCAGAGATGGAGAGTTCCATCCGCTTTGCGAGCAAAGAGGACGGGTGCACCCCACGGGGAGTTGCTGGGTTTAATTAAACCCAGTCGCAGGAGCTCCTCAAGCTGAGGCTTGAGTTCGGTGGCCTCAGGGATCGAGAGTCCGTAGGGTGCCTGGTGGTGAACACGATAGTCAGGCACGAGCTGGATGAAATGCTCGACGTCGCGCATCAATGGGATGTCGACGTACGAGAATGACGATGGGAAAACGTCGTGGTACTCTCGAATGAGGTCACGAACTGCGGGCTCCAGGTCGACCGTATAGTGTGCGAGTTCCTCAGCGTAAGCGTCAGCGCACGACGGCGGGGTGGACTCGACGGACGGCGGAGGGACGAAAGTAGAGATGAGAACCATGGAGATAGGAGGATCTGGCTCCAGAGAGATGAGCTCAGCGTCGGGACAGGGTGGATCATAGTGCAAGAGATCCGTAACGTTCACCGTAAAGAAGGTGATGTCGTCCTTTCGGATGAAGTGAGCGAACTGCCGAGGCGAGGTGACAGTGATAGTAGGAGATGGTGTGGGCACGGAAGGTTCCGGGGGAGGAGGGTCGGGGCATGGTGTCGTGGTGGTACTTATGAAAGGGACGCGATACGTCTGTCCACACTTCGTTTTGAGAACGAGAGTGTTGGGCGCCCAATCGGCCTCGGTGTTGCGGAACCAACGAGACCACGGAGTGTCGAGAATGAAGTCGTACCCCGTCTCCATCACATCGAAATGTGCGGAGGAGTGGTGGCGACGAGACACCGGGGGACGATCAGTCGGCTTGAGAATGAGGAAGAAAGGGAGGTCGGTGACCATCTGATCGAAGAAGCGCTGGGTCTTGTCATCCCCTAGGGTGACAAACATGGGAGTCGGAGACCCTGCCGTGGGTAAGCGGGCTTCTTTCACCACACATGGGTGAATGAAGTTGCCCTGAGAACCGGAATTCCACAACGATGAGTACACCCTCGTGATGGTCCCCAGACGTATTGGAATGATCGGGGGGGTGCGATCAGGGTTAGAGGGGATGGTGAGAAGGCGACGTAGTGCAGCGACATGGAGGGTGAGTCACTCCTGACGAGCCTGGAGCATGCTCACGTCCAGAAGAAAGGACACAACGTCTTCACGGGTCGCAAGCTGCACGATGCAACGGGCTGAGCGAATGGCTCGATGCGTCGATAGTTGCAAAGGGGTAGGAGGGGAGACAATGGTCTGCGGAGGCGCAAACGGTACTGTGAGAGAGGGATGAGTACACTCTGTTGGGTCCTGCGATACCTCAGCTCCAGTAGCGAGAGGGGCGAATCGCGACGAAGATGTTGGGAAACCCACTACAAAGGAGGGCGCAGGTGTACACTGCACCGTGGCTAGGAGGCGCCGCCGGGACTGAGCACGACGATGGCGGGAAAGGTCAACGTAGTGGCGGTCAAGGGCCGCGGTGTAAGGGCCCCACGAGAAGGTATGACCATCCTGGCAGCATCGCAAACACCCACGCTGGCCCAAAATGACCGCGCGCTCCTCAGCGGAAAGGACATCGCGAGAAGGGACAAAGCTCTGAGGGAGGTCCTGTTGAGGGACCTCGGAGGGCAACGCGCTAGCATGACCGGGGTGGCTGCTTGCCCGGGAGAGGGCGGAGAGAATGCGCTGGAGGCGCTCGGCCATAGGGAGAGTAGAGTCCTCCAGGTGGTAGTGGACGGCCTCACCGAGGTCGAGGTCGTCGCTATGGTCACCCTCAGGTGACAGCGGGGCAACAACGTCCTGCTCACCATACTCGAGCGCTCTAAGCGGTGCGAGAAGTGGTGGCCCTGTTGCGAGGAACGGTGGGGCGATCGTGGAAAGGGGCGCGGCGCTGGGAAGTGTCGTGAGAGGAGGGGGCGTACCCAGTACGCTGAGGCTGGGTGGAGGAACTGGGGTGAAGACAGACCCGCATCCGCTGATGGGTCCTGGCGGCCTCATAGGCATGCGGGGCCGATGTGACTCGTACCGCCATAACTCGGAGCGGTACTCAAGGGGAAGGCTGGGCAAGAAACGGTCGATGAGGGCAGCCTCAGGGAGGAACGCCACATCACAAATGAGGCGGGCGTCCTGAAAGACCTGGATGTGGTGGTCCAGGCCGGCAGCGCCACTAGAGCCGGACCAGCGTGTGCTGACGACATGCTTGAAGGCGTTAGTAACGTTGTCAGGCGACCGCAAGCAGTGCGCCGCCTGAGATCTGCAGTTTTGGGAATTAGGCGCAGAGACGAGTCTTAGTTTTAACGGTACTCTTGTTAGACCGGGCAGCGGAAATTAGGGGAGCTCGGGGCGCCCTTGAATTTGGGCGCACTGAACCGTACGGGTAACCCTAAAAAATGGCAAGATGAGTGGTCGCACTCGGCACATCAACGGACCGTCATTTCTGGCCGTTTGGAGGGTTAGACCCGAATTGGCCTGCCGCGAGGGGGCATCGCGGGGACTAACCCCGCTGCGACGTTCTTTGCAGCATATGATCGGGGTCAAAATA